GTCGTTTTTTTTTGCCGCAGTGTAACGGTGGCTTGAAGCTGCTTTGGGTGTGCTTGTGTGTGCGTAGTTATAGTGTGTTTTGGAATCTCCGGTTGCAGATCGCATTGGAATGGGTGCATGATGTTGCATGGGCTATGTTTTGGGGAGGAAGCCGGAGCACGAAACCGTGTGTTTTTCCGTGTAAAGTGGCTGCAGGCGACGATGAAAGGTACCTCGTGTGTGCGACGGGTGCGGCTGGGGTCGGTTGGTCGTTTTTTTTTTTGCATCGCGCTGGGTTCTGAGTTCTGCTTACTTCTGAAGTAAAGACATGTAGCTTCAATGGTGTTTGATGCAAAACTAAAACAGTTTCTGTGTGCAAAAAAAAGTATGGTAAAAAAGGGACACATGAAGAATTCAAGTTTGTGAAGAAACTGGGGAATGCGAATCAGAAGAGGATGGGTGCATGGGTTGTTGGATGTTTCCTGTTATGTGAAGTACTGTTTTCTCCACACTGCAACGATGTGTTTATGCATGATAGACTGAAGGCCAGCATCGATGTCCTATCTCTGGTTTGACGTGCTTGCAGCTGTTTGCAGTGATGGCTTCCAAGGATAAAGTACAGTAAGAGAAGTTGCACGGAATACAGTTAGTTCATGCCGTGACGCACATAACCTTGCTATACTTCCATGTCTCTACTTACTGTATTACACGACAGGAGACTCATATTGCAGCTACGCTCTGCTGTTAGAGGATCGCTTTGCGACCATCCTCGTGCGACAGTGCGGTCCACGAGGGCAACCGCCATGGCTATCGGACCTTGCGACTTCTGGCGGTTGGCAGTCGATTTCGAATTGCTGGATCTCCATGCGCTCAGCAACGTGAGCGCTGCTTCGACAGCTACGAATGCATGTGTGCTGCAGAGCGCCAACCTTAGAAACTTGCTGCAACGCAAAGTGGAAGAGGAAGGAAATTTGGAGTCGCAAAACTTGAGGATTGACATTGGATTCGAAGAAATGGCAGCTCTCAAGCATAGCTTGAAGATTGCACTGCACGTCTACGACGCGTTGCAAAATTCACTATGCTTCGCGTGCAGGCGAAGTACCCAACCGAGGAGCGCAGGACTATTGGTTTGGGTTACTTCAAATATGGACTCTGCGCTGGTTGTTTCGAAGCCTTGACAACTGTTTGCACGGAACAAGACGATACCTTGGCAGAACAGCGCTGCGTTGCCCTGACAGATGATGGTGTGCACGCTGCGGCCATGTTGTTGAGTGCTTACCGAGCAGGTGCAGGATGTCGTTTGTCGCAAGCAGATGCAGCTTGGGTCCGCAATGTCATTGCGGATAGTGAGAACTTCTTGCCTGATTTGCTTCGTGAAGTGCCATGACGGCCAACCAGGCTTCCAACGTGATAAGCTCTCCAGCCTTTCGTGCCAGTGCGGGCCGAAAAGCTGCCAAAAGCCTAGACGACCAAGTGTAGCGCAGAGACAAAAGCAGCTGTCGAGCTTGGACTGCGTGAATCTCCTTGACAGGTAACAACTACACCATGTTCACACTTGCCGTTGCGATTTGATGCAATGCATCCACGCTTGGCATTAATGACCTCAATATTGTAAATATTTTCTGGTCTACGCCTTTTGGCCTGTAGAAGAATCAACATGAGTTACGCTCAACCTTGCTGACGTACAGAAGCGTCGAGAAGAGCTCAGATGAGATGAAGTGTGGAGTGTGAAGAGTGCAGTGTGAAGTGTGGGGCGTGAAGAGTGCAGTGTGAAGTGTGAAGTGTGGAGTGTGAAGAAAGCAATGAGAAGTGAGAAGTGTGAAGTGTGGACTGTGAAGTGTGAAGTGTGGAGTGTGAAGTGTGGATTGGGGAGAGTGCAGTGTGAACTGAGAAGTGTGAAGTGTTGACTGCGAAGGGTGCGGTGTGAAGTGTGAAGACTGTCAAGTGTGAAGTGTGACGTGGGGCTTCAAGTGTGACATGTGAAGCAGGACACCACTTTCGCAGAGTGCACGCACGCACGGGCTTGGCTGGCGCACGGCGCATGCAAGTTCTATAGATGAGAAAGGTCTTATATATATCTTTAAGGCAACTTCCGCACCGCCTCGTGCGGGTACTACTGGTAATAGTAACCCTATGTACACATAGCAACAGCAACATTAACAACAATGATAACAATTCATACCGGGGCTGAGGAGTGAGGATTGCTTGGAATCCCGAGCAGAATTCAGTCGGGATTGAATGAAGATCAGTGGACTCAGCCTTCGATGCTTGGTTCCACAAACATTTTACCATTTAGATCCACTACACAACGTGTTTTTTGAATCTAGAAAATCTAGAAATTCAGATTTTTGAATCCAGAAAATCTAGAAATTCCATTTCGGAAATTCAGAAACCATGAAGGAAGACATTTTGGGTTGGTGATGGTGACAGTCAGGTGCCGAAAGGACGACAAGGCGGATTTCACGGAGCAGGACGGGCGGGAAAAATCCATGGGTTGGGGTCGGTTGGTTGGTTCTTAGCAAATCAACTGCAACTGTTGAATATAATATCTATATAATATCTATGTAATATCTATATAATATAATCTATAGAAATAATCAATCCAATATCTGTTGAATAGAACTGTTGTTTTATTTTGGCCAAGGAGATGACACCAAAATGGGCAAAATTTCCATCCAAGACACTGCCCAAATCAACTTTTGAAGCATGTTTCGAAGATCTTGCCCGCAATGTGAAGTATTTCGGGCTTTTGTAAATGACCAGTATATTTACCCCCAAGCCCCAAACCAACCTCGATGAAACCTTAAACCAATCCGAAATAAACCCTGAACAACCCCAGGCCCTTCCCTAGATTCTAAACCAGCCCCAAGTGTCAAGTGGCGAGCATTTGGATCGGGTCTCAACCGCTAACCACATCCGAGGATAGCGTCTCCTTCATTCTCCAGGCGAAGTGCCCTCAAGGACAGCTGCCGCGATGGGACAACCCTGGGCTGAAATGGACCAGCTGAGGACAAAAGAAGTTGTCCGTCTATTCGAAAGATCTTCGTTCTGCACTCAGAAGATCTCAGGCCAATTCGCAGTTGGAGTTGATGATCCCACTTTTGCAGCTATAACGTTGTATCCTCGTTTCATTGGGGGTCTAATTCCCACCAAAAGATACGTTGTGCATATGACATGTGCATATTACATGCATATAATCCCTTCACTCTGATAGTAGATACCACCCTATAAATCCAAGTTTAGTATTGAATCTGTTTATTTTGTGGCCATATGCGGGTTATTATGTCCATGGCCGAGGATGGTTCCCACTCACGGAGCAGCAGGAAGAAGCTTTGAAGGCCATTGGATGGAAATCAAAAAATGTCTTGGCTTTTCGGGTAGGTGCCAAGGTTTGGCTTTTTGGCATTGAAAGATACAGAAGTTTTTTTTTTAAAACCAGTGGCCGATCTATTCTTTTCCGCATGTTTTGTTGGGGGTTACTACTTGGGGGTACAGTTCGGGTTATATTTGGATATATAACCTAGCTATGTACATAGGGGTTGTGTCCCTACTTTTGGGAGGGAATATCTTGGTGATACGCACTACCAAGCATTCTGACCCCACTACTGGTAATATCCATTTATAGTTACTATACCACTATTCATCTATAGTAACAATACCACTATTCCATACTATTCCACTATAGCAACACCACGGATCATATCCACAGTAACTCTAGCGATCAACAACCACTATGAACCCTTGGCGCAACTCTGAGGCGGCTCCTCCTGCGCCGGTGGACGATGAGATACTTCTGGCACAATTGGCACCAGGCCGAATGGTTTTCGAACGATGGGTGACCACCAAAGAAAACACGAGATGGGGATGGGTCAAGTTAGTTAGCTATGAAGACCATGTGGGGGAAGAAACCTCCAGCTATACCAGCTACTTTGGGCTAGGGTACCAGGGTTTTGACCTGCAGCCAGATGGTTAATAACCCGCCAGATCCATGGTGATTGGTGAGGATTTTGCCCGAGAATGAAGCACCATTTTTCCCCAACAGCGTAAGCTAATGGGGTCTTTCCGGAGAAGGTCTGGGAGGCTTTGGTGCAGAGCCAGGTCAGGTTCAACAGGGTTCCGGAGAAGGTTCCGGAGAAGGTTCCGGAGAAGGTTCCGGAGAAGGTTCCGGAGAAGGTGTGGAAGGCTTTGGTGCAGAGCCAGGTCAGGTTCAACAGGGTTCTGGAGAAGGTTCCGGAGAAGGTTCCGGGAGGCTTTGGTGCAGAGCCAGGTCAGCTTCAGAAAGATGTTTAAAAATAAAACGTTGCAGTTGTTGGGGATACCACCGAAGCCTTTTTTTCCAAATGCGACAAAAAAAGGTTGGTTGAATCCTCATGAAGATGTGGGTTAAATGGGTCAAATGAGCCCGGCTCGAACCATACAGAACCATCTCAATGGTGAAAGCCAAGGATGATTGGCCCAGATCCTTGCAGGTCAAGAGATTGAGTGTGTGTGCGCATGCGACTTGCATTGAGCGGGGTCAACGGTTCAAGGGATCAGGTGGTACTTTCAGGTCTTTCGGGCCATATTATGGCCATATCAATCATATCTGAGGTATTTCAATTTGGTACTGGACATGTATCCTATTGAAATAGAAGGCTTCGTCCCGAACCTCTAAGGTCCTGTGCCTCGCTAATGATGGCTGGATCATCCCATGTTTTTTCTATCCAGTTGTTGCGAGGGAGGAACTAGGAGTATCCATATGATCCATCTTCCCCAACAAAAATAGGGAGCTACAAGAATATCGGATAGGAGTTTCCCAAGCACGTGAAAGTTCTTATAGCCTTTTTTTCATTCAAAACATGTGGCTTTTTGGATAATGATCTCTCTGGGATTTGGGGAGTCACCGAGGTGAGAAGAGCATTGGCAAGGACCTCTTTGTCTCTCTCAGTGAAAATTCGAGACGAAAAGAGATGCCCAAAAATGGACTGGTTATGTGTGGCCTTTATGGTTATTGACAATATGGATGGTTGAACCAGTTGAACCACGAACAAAACTCCAGAATTTTGGATCTGTGCCTTCGAAGATTTAAGGTGTGCAGTTTGGCCATCAAACTTTTGAAGTTGGTACAAGCGCAGTATAAGCAGTGCAGGAGCATGCCAAATGGTCGCCAGTGTGCACTGCTTTCTACAGGCTGCATCCAGTGATTCGTTGGGCACCCAACTTTTTTGGGGGCGGTCCCTTCGTGCTTCAGCAGTTGAAAACCTGGATGTATGGCCGTTGAAGATCGGTTTTGACCTTCACGAAGCAACCAGTATTTGCTAGATTGCAATGGAAACTTAGCATCGTGGCATAGAAAACATCGCCAAAATCAACATCGACCCAGGGACTCACAGATTAGTCACTTAGTATGAAACCATACCATTTTGGAGTTCCCAAACTAGACCCATAATTCATTTGCCTCCCGGGTGGATTGAGCATCATTTTTCAATGCCCTCAACACAGCGATTCGCGATGGTATCGCGAATCGCAGGATGGACAACTGAAATGATTTGAATCTCCGATGCTGCTCATGAAATTTTGCTGGCTTCCACCATCTTTTTGTTGGATTGCATGAAATGCTGTAGTTCTGTAGTTCATTTTTTGCAGGCTCTGTTGCAATTCTTGCAGCCCCCTGTCCTGAGATTTGTGTGATGCATGTTTGTTATTGTTATTTTCATCTCTCACAATGACGACGGAACATCCCAGTTAAGACTAGAAACGATGGGCTTCGCAACTATTAAATCATGTTTACAAGTTCTTAATAACTTTCATTTCTCAACATTTTTTTGCTTTGTCATTCCAGGCTTTTTATCCCATCGTCTGAGGCCTGGAGAAGGAGATCCTGAACGAGGATGCTGAGGAGCTCAAGAGGTGGGTGGCTCGGGACGGATTTTTCCACTTCGATGGCTGGTTGGTGAAAACTATGGTGAAATTCATATGACAACTGACTTAAGTAATGGGTTATTCATGTATGGATTATGGTTAAACTATGTTAAACTAACTATGGATGAATTCATATTGAAACTATGATTATGGTTAACTATGGATTAATGAAAAGTATGGGAATTTTAAGCCACCATAATTTCGGATATAACATGATATAACTCTTTTTTCACCAGTACTGGGGATATTCTGTGGGATATATATTGCGGGAGATCGTTGTATCATCCATCAGAATGATGACTTATCAACTGGATCCGAAAAGTTGCATCGCTGGAAAAAATCCACACCATTTACAGAGGATTTTCGCTCTCCATTTACAAACAAAGGGGATAAAAACCATTGCGTGAACGACTACTGGAGGTTTTTTTTAGATGATTATAGATGATCAGAATCATGATTGCAGCAATGATCAGTGATTTTTTGCTGTGGGCAGTTTCGTTTGCGTGGTAAACAGGGGATGCAACCATATGTGATAATACCAAGGCCACATCCCCAACAGAGGCTTATGAAATGGGGTATATATATACCCCTAGACATGGGATGATGTGAATTCAGACCCCCAATGGGTGAATGGGATGGTGTATGGCATTGGGTTTACCACATTATAGATCGATGGAAGCATGCCAGCATTTTTATTCGAGGCAGTCACAAAAACGATCCGTTTCTGATGCATTTCCGGAAGTCCATTTGCAGATTCCAAGGGTTAAATTGTCTCTTGCAAGGTGGAACTGGTCTAGTATATCAGGGAAATTTCAGCTATGCCTTCTTAGTAAATTCAAAAGCCTTTTGAGATTGGTGTATACAAAAACATCTCTATATATTTAAATGTATCATAGATGTGGTAGGAATATATATATATAGGGTACATACCCGACAAAGCCTGCACATCCGACACCTTGACTTTTGGGTTGGCAGGTGTTGTCCCATGGGCGTCTTTGATGTGGAGGATGTGCCACAGGGCAAGCGTGCGGTGGTGGTGAACGAGCGAAATTGTACCACCTGCAGAGAGTGCTTGGAAACCTTCAATGGCCAGGCGCTTTCGGAGCGAGACTCCGGGTTTGCTTAAAATTTGTTTTTCTGGGAATCTGCTGGTGAATTTTGGTCTGTTTTGATGGGACAATGATGTTTTTTTTTTGCAGCTTTCCTACAAAGAAGATGCACTGCTGGATGATTCTCCTGGCCTCCGAAAATGAGCTCAAGATGGCAGGAGAAAGGCGTGATGCTGATGAAGGCGAAGAATCACTTCATCTTTTCCATCGAAAGCGTAGGGCAGATCCCTGTCCGGACGGCTCAGGCTTTGCCCAGGACTTGCCCTGAGAAGTAGCCAACTTCGGAAACTATGACTTGCCGTATTATCACTATTATATCATCATTACTATTCTTCTCTATGATTATCTATTATTAATTAGCCAAATCGTATCAGAAGATTATCCACCAACCACGACCTGCGGATGATGATATGGACGATGCATGATGGAATCGGAAAGGCACAAAAACATGGAGTTGCAATGGGAAAAAAAGGGCGATTTAAGGCGATTTAATGGGGTATTGCGATGTAAAATGGGGAAGACAGGTGATTTAACCAGCAAAGATGTGGATTTCGGTGATGAAAATAGTGGCTTCATGGTGGTATAAGACGGTATTTTATGTATTTTATGGGATATCCTATGGGATTCCACCAGTTTGACCGACACTTGATATGATTCTTGTGGGGTCTGAAAGTGGGGTACATCCCCAAACAACAATCTTAAGTCAAGTGGAAGAATAGTGACAGACCAGCGGAATGGGCTTTTCTTCGGTAAATCAAACCATTTTTCTGCGAACTTTTTCCCAGGGACCCAGGGACAGAATTTGTCCTGCCGGAGGAAAGATGTGCGTCTCCCCCGTATGTGGTATGGTCTAAGTTAATCAGAAGATATTAGGGTTGATAAATACAAGTTAATCTAAGTTAATCTAAGTTAATGGCTATAATCAATCAAGTATTCATAAAAATCCTGGCCACAAGATTTAGATGTGATGATCCTCTGAGCTAGTAGCGGGTCTATATACGTTTCAGTCTGGGAAAACCCAACATGTACCTGATCAAGCAGACCGAACGCCTTAGATGGGCTAATCTCTCAACGGTACGAGGCTCCTGTTCTCTTTGAGCGCGCGCTGTTGAAGTTTCAGGCCTGGAACTTCAGTGGTCGGAAGATGTCATCAGCTTGTGCAAATCTGATGTACCCCCCCAATTATTTTTTGGTCCCAAGTCATGAATAGATCTATATTTATACATTACATTCCACCAGGGCTAGCAATTAGGAGGTATTCAATATGATCACGGGGAAGGGACTATCTGGGAATCGCACGAAATGGGTCGTCAAAACTGGATGCTGGGATGAAGTGTGAGAATGCGCAGGAAAAATGCCAAAGCGCCAGAGAGAGTGTCAGAACCAACCGCAAACGTCAGGAGATTTGCCAACTTTTGTCATTTGCACATGTGCCTAAAACGCTCAAACATCTGCTGCTTGCAAGTGTGATTTGTTATAAAGAAAATTCTCACTGATCAACATATAAAATTCAACACATGTCAATATCCTCTTTTTTGGATTTGTCTGAAAGTAGCGTACCCCCAATTCCAAGGGTGCTCATTGCCACCCCATCTCTCAGGAGACTTGATGACCTCCGAGCCATCGGGGTGAACGAACGTTGCCACTCCGCGGGTTTTTTGGTGACCTTTTTGCGATATCATCAAAACAGAAAACGAGCAAAACTCAGTAACACATGAAGTGCCAAGTCTCTCGTTTAGTTGTAGTTGGTTCTTGTCATTCCTTTTGTCTTGAGGAACAAACAATTCCCGTGCAGCTGGGATGGCTCACTTATGACGCTGAAGCTGCCAGAAAAAAGCTGTCAAACTCGAGGCGTTTCAGGGCTAGTGGCAGTCTGACATCGCATTTTCATGGATGGAGGGTTTCTTAAAATGGGGAATCCCCAAGTCACCATGGTTGTTTCAATACTGAGTCATGGTCATTCATGACGACTGGATGATGCAAGGGGGTACCCCTATGACTTAGGAAACCTCCAGTTGAGCTCTTGCTTGCCTCGATTCTGACTCGCACATTTGGCTCAAGCCAAAGACATCGAATCAACAGGAATCTGAGGATGTCGCAGTGGAATGTTCGGAGAAACAAGGGATGGTAGCCATGGTAGCTTTACCGCTGCAGGTCTACATCTGACGCGATCCAATTGCCACTCTAGGACAAAAACAGGTGAGGTAAGTGCGATGCCTGCTGCACTATACATCATTGTACATCCAGATCTCACCAGTGCTTCCAAAAAAAGTGTCAAAGCGGTAGTTCCCTGCAACGCCCGTCTCCGCCTCATCATGGACGGTTGGAAACCGCTGGTTGACCATGCTTTTTGAGCATCATGGGAAGCCGCTTTGGTGTGAGGTGCCTTTCGGGATGGCAGTTGAAAAACAGATTGCAGTTGAGCGTACATTTCGGATGGGTTGAAACCGTCATCCATTCTGACCGGACATTTTTTTTCGATTGAAGCCTGATCGACGAGTCTTATTTTGATTGGGTTTTCTGGATTTGTGTTTGTTTCTATTATTGTCAGGTCGTGCCGGATTGGGCTAGAACCATTGTGGCCATATTTTTCCGGACGAAGCAACAACCATTTCCAGGGTCCACTTCGGAAAGCATAGCTGACCCTGAAATACATTGTATATTGGCACAAATAAATACAATTAACACATATTAATATTTATTACCACCAGCATCCCAAAACTGGAGGGTGACCCCAACTACCATAGACCTTCACATGGGACAAGGGTGACACAAGGTGTCAGGGTGTGGCGCGCGCTGCACACTGGTCTCGAAGCTTCAGCTCCCGAGCGAAGCTCCTTGAAAGCTATCGCAGTCAGGTGGGCCGGGAGCCGAGGGCCGTGCATTTCTGTTTTGGGGCTTTAGCGGCTTTAGTCTTTGGTTATTCTCAGTATGATCTGAGTATGTCAGTATGAACAGAGTTCCATTTTTGACCATTCCAAAATTGGGCATGACAGAAGCCCCTTTTTGGCCCGTTGATGCGTCACACGGTGAAAGATACATGGGGTTGCTTTGAGGTTGATGCGGGCAAATTGGAGAAAGATGGCCTGCAACAGCGTGTGGTGGGCTTTCTTGCTGATTCGCTCGACAAGGCACCGATCCCAACTCTGGAGATCTCACTTAGTAGAACATATATGAAACAACATTTTACTATATAAATAACGAATAAACAATGCAGACATATAACTAAAACATATAAATACACAAATATCATATATAACTTAACTATAAATATAAACACACACACACACATATATATATATATACATACATATATATATATACATATATATATACATACATATATATATATATACATACATATATATATACATATACATACATATATATATATACATATATATATATATACATACATATATATATACATATACATACATATATATATATACATACATACATACATATATATACATACATACATACGTACGTACGTACGTACATACATACATACATACATACATACATACATGTATACATGTATTATTATGTATACACGACATTTGTTTTAGTCGAAGGGTACCAAACACGACCCTGGTGGACTGGATCACCAGGCGCTTCAGCGTCCACTGGAGGAGTGGGCAGCTGCTCCTGGAACACCACGTAACGCGACGCGCGACGTCGCCATGACAAGGGAGCCATTCTACTGATTCTACGTGAAAAATGGGGACTTGAAATCTTGGAAAAGTTGCGAAAGAAATCCCTGCACTAGTTCAATGAATCTGTTCCGAGAGTGCATTCTGCATATCCTCCGGTACTCAAACGTGGCCGGAAAATCCCAGACTAAGTTCGGAAACTCACCGATTTAGTGAACGATGATTTTCCCGAACGAAACCTCCACTTGGTGCGGGAATTTTCGAGCCATGTTTGATCACCAGCGGATATATCCCATGGATTTTCCCATTGCATGAAGAATTCCCATATACATCCCAATCTCCCATTATATCCTTATATCGTATATATATATACATATTATATTCACACATACATGTTTACAATAAAATTACCATTCACATTAAAAATCCCCTGAAAAATCCCATGAACATTTTTCCACGTTTGCAGGAGACCGTGGAGCCCGGCTTTGCCGGGCGGCGCGGTTGGATCCTCCCGCAGGAGACCTTAGGTGCCACGGCTAAACGTAGGGAATGAGCGAATGATCCACTGGCTAACTATCAACAATCGCAGCAACCCCCAGCAACCCCCAGCAACCCATCCATTCCCTACGTAAAACGCACCAGTGAGATGACGAATATTCAAGAATGAAGATGCAACGTTTTTTTTTTCCAACCGAGAAACATTGCTGGAGTTCATCTAGCCTTACGGGCAACAATTTCACCATTTCGGAGATCGCAGCAAACTACTTCCTTACCCGGAGAATCAAATCATCCATGAAGAGAAACTTTGGCTTCGGAACATCAACTACACCCATTAAGGCTTAGACTTCCCACTTCGTGGTGTAGCCATGTTTAGCTATGTGGTCAGTATCTAGGGTTTGCATCTCATGAAGTATCCCACGTGCAAGGGCTGTATCCATTTTGTGGCCAGTAAAGAGTAAAGCGGGGTTGTTGCACTAATATATATATACATATCCCATGTGATATATATATATATGTGTCCCTTAATACATATATATATATATATCATGTATACACATACATATTATATATATACCTATATATCTATCTATCTATCTATCAATCTAATCTAATCTTATCTTATCTAATCTTATCTAATCTCATCTAATCTTATCTAATCTTATCTAATCTTATCCAATCTTATCCAATCTTATCCAATCTTATCCAATCTTATCCAATCTTATCCAATCTTATCCTATCTAATCCTATCTAATCCTATCTAATCCTATCTAATCCTATCTACTCCTATCTAATCCTATCTACTTCTATCTAATCCTATCTAATCCTATCTAATCCTATCTACTCCTATCTAATCCTATCTATTCCTATCTAATCCTATCTAATCCTATCTAATCCTATCTAATCCGATATCTAATCCTATCTAATCCTAATCCGATCTAATCCGATCTAATCCGATCTAATCCGATCCTATCTAATCCTATCTAATCCTATCTAATCCTATCTAATCCTATCTAATCCTATCTGTCTAATCCGATCTAATCTATCTAATCCTATCTATCTATCTATCTATCTATCTATCTAATCCTATCTATCTATCTATCTAATCCTATCTAATCTTATCTAATCCTATCTAATCCTATCTAATCCCCTCTAATCCTATCTAATCCTATCTAATCCTATCTAATCCTATCTAATCCTATCTAATCCTATCTAATCCTATCTAATCCTATCTAATCCTATCTAATCCTATCTAATCCTATCTAATCCTATCTAATCCTATCCTATCTAATCCTATCTAATCCTATCTAATCCTATCTAATCCTATCTAATCCTATCTAATCCTATCTAATCCTATCTATCTATGTATCTATCTATCTATCTATCTATCTATCTATCTATCTATCTCTCTCTATCTATCTATCTATCTATCCTGGTGTATTGCACATAACATATCCCAATTCTGTGGCTGGAGGTATTTCCAGCTCCGCCGCCGCCGAGCACCGCTTGGCCGCGGAGTGGACGGCGAAACTCGCGGCGGAGAACCGGCGCAAGCTGCAAGGAGGACGCTGGGAGGGGCCCATTTCTTGGTGGGGCTTTCCTAGGGAAATCAGGGGGAGATCCTTGGATTTAGCCATTCACCAAGGAAAAATGTGGGATAGCTTACGGCAGCAACAAGAAAAATGATTTAAGCCAAAGAATAGCGTAGTGGTATAACCAACACAAAATGGCCGTCTCACCCAGCAAAAATTGGAAGTAAGTTCAAAGAATTGGGGCGTAACCGACAAAACTGCTGGTATATAGAGTTGCCTACGGGATTTGTCTGGAAATGGGGAATTTACCCCAATAGGTGGCAATTTCATCAACCATGCGACTTAGGGGTACAGTACCTTATTTTCAGATAAAACCCAGGTTTCGTATGGTTCTCTTGGACTTGTTAGTGTTGACATATTGTTTCTGGGTATGCTGGCCATGTCTTTTTGTTGTTTGCGATGGTTGATTAGCAAAGTTCTTTCTAGTATCAAAGGACATTTTGTTGAGGTGATCTATTGACAGCTATGTAACCTTCTATTGTTTTTGGGACTCTTTGGACCCATGAATATTGGAGAACGAATGACGGGTTGAATGGGTATACACATCCGGGATGTTGGGGTTGCTGGTGATATCCCCAGTTGATGGGACGACTCGACCATTAAAAGGAGCACTGCCTTCTTAGCAACGAAAAACGACCCGGCCTGGTAAACGTTAACAAAAAACTATGGAAAGATCCACCATTTTGAATGGGTAAATCAACAATTTCTATGGGCCATTTTCAATAGCTATGTCAGCTATGTAACAAATTACCAGAGGGTATGTTAGAAGTACAAGCTGTCATGGATTGAAAAAAAACGCCCATCATGGTACTGCCAGGATCTGAGACCAAGGTCCTACCAGCAGCGACTCGGTTAGGGCTGAGGACTGGGGAGTGGGTACCTGGAGTTTTTTTAAGAAATATGCTCAAAGAAATGGTTTCAGAACGATTTTATAGGTGTTTTCATGTTTTTGTTTTCCTGACTTTTGGGCACTTCAGTTTTTTTTAGTTGTTTTTGGTGTAGGAAGAGCACTACATGTGGAGACCAGATATTGTCAAGGGAAGCTACAGCCTGTTGATTTCTGCATCACATCCAGTTCAGTTAGATTGTGTTAATTGTGGAAAGACACCAGAATTCTAAAATTTATAAATGATCAATAAAACATACAGATTGTGTTAACTGGGGAGTTTATCATCTTAGATTGTGTTAACGTTAGATTCTGTAATAAAGAAAGTTCTTTTCTTTAGACATGATCTAAAGACAGCTAACACAAACATCTCAAAGTGGATACATCATCAACATCAAAATTTTCGCTGAACGACGGCTATACCGAGGCCACTGTTGCGAAGGAGTCCGGTACAGAAGAAAAATCACAGGCGGGGTGGCCGGGTCCCGGTTTTGGACGTGCAGATCAGGTTGGATGTTTCACTATGGAATTATCATGTTGACTATTATTGTTGAATATCATGTTGAACATCATATTGAATATATTGAACATCATTGTTGAATATCATGTTGAACATCATACTGAACATCATTGTTGAATATCATGTTGAACATCATATTGAACATGTTGTTGAATATCATGTTCAACATCATATTGCACATAATGTTCAATATCATGTTGACTATCACATTGAACGGCTTCAAATCAATTTGGTATTGGAAAAGGGTACTGTTCAGAATGTTCAGAGTTCCACATCTCTAGGACTTTTGGGTTTTCCAAAACAACACATATTTCATGATTTTGATATCTGGTTGGTGCTTTGGAACATTTGGATTAATTTTCCATCATATATGGGATTTCATGGAATTTCATCATCCCAACTGACGAAGTCCATCATTTTTCAAGATCGTTAAATCCACCAAGCAGTAGATTCAGTAGATATTCACCATCATTAATCATCATTAACCATCATTAAATCACCATTAACCATCATTAATCACCATTAATCACCATTAATCACCATTAAATCACCATTAAATCACCATTTATGGTTTCAATCTGGAATTTTCTCCGAAATGGCTCCCAGAAGTCCACCTAGGTGGAGGTGCCAAATTTGAGCATGAAGAGCGGTGTTTATCTGCACGGCAGGGGAGCTCAAAGCTGAGAGGTGGTGAAGGTTGAAGTAGGAAACTTGACAGGTTGAAACATGGCAAAATGCAAGGGATATGTACAGATATCAGTTGGATGATATGGAAAAAATATGGAAAAACAATGGATGATATGGAGTTTCCCGGCTGGGCGTAGGACGTGCGGTTCCTTGCTTTGTTCAAGTTTCGCTGCTCTCCAACCTGTACCACAGCCCAACTTAGATGCCGCTTGCAGATTATCAGCAGCCGTGAGTACGGACGTCCATTGGTCATATACTAGCAATGGAACGAATTCAAGCCTGTTGGCCAAGTCAAGTGCTGTAGAGTCACCGGCTCACATGTCACTGGTTGCCATACTTGCGGATGCAGTGCCAGTTGCAATTGGATATGAACCATAGTTACTGTGTATATATAATATATATATATATATGTATATCAACAGTTATAAGGTCCATTATCCCAACTTCTGCAGCTTGTAACACCATTGAGTCATATCAACCCCAACTGCACCAGCATCTCAAGCTGCAGGTCCAGTTGGAACTGGCAAGACGATGTTAATGAACCTCTTTGATGAGCATTCACGAGAGGCCCAGGGACATGATTTTTTTTGGGGTTCCCCGGGGTTACCAATCCCGAAATGGCCAAACTTTTCAGATTTTTTCGAGTGGTTCCCAAGATCTACGTTGCAGCCCCAAAAATGGTCTGATTCGCCCCAGCCACCAGTTTTGGGGCCAATTTGCCAGTAATTTGCAGCAGCGCAACTGGCACAACTGGCAGGCAGGGCTCAGAACTTCGAGGCAGCACTTTTATGAGTTCATGATCAGTCCGGTCCTCAGCGTGGCGACAGCGTGGTGACTTGCGTGGCGACTTGCCATCTGTCACATCTCCATCTGGTCCATCTGGGGATGGTGGATGAAGTGCTCCGACTTGCCACGCTGACATCTCCGTGCACCTGAAGCAAAGACTGATGATGATGATGATGATTATGATGATGATGATGATGATGACGATGATGATGATGATGATGATGATGATGATGCATATATGTAATATATGTAATTATATATTTGATTATATACATACATATGAATTGTTATCATTATTGTTGTTGTTATTATTACATACGTTAACACACACCCACCCATATATACTGTACATTACATTACATTAAACTACATTGCATTGCATTGCATTGCACTGCATTACATTACATTACCATCCATCCATCCATCCATCCATCCATCCATGCATGCATGCATGCATGCGCATACACATAGTGATAATGATAGTGGGTCACAGGCTCGTAGAAGGGAACGGACATGTAGTTTTCCGACATGAGTTAGCCCCTTATAGAGATGGCCTCATAATGATATATGGGTTTGTCTGAAAACAGGGTGACCCCAAATCGAATGGTTTATCATCATTTCCCCAATTAAATACAGTAGCATTTTTTGGAATATTCCTTATTTTCAGACACACCCATATGAAACATCTCTAATCAAATGGAATGTTCGATTGATATCCCATCAATATCCCATATATTTGAAAAGATTAGAATACTTAATGTCGATCTTGATAAGATGATCACCAGTATCACTATCATCACTATCATCACTATCATCACTATCATCACTATCATCACTATCATCACTATCATCACTAAAATCTCTATCATCGCTATCATCGCTATCATCGCTATCATCGCTATCATCGCTATCATCGCTATCATCGCTATCATCGCTATCATCGCTATCATCGCCATCATCGCCATCATCGCTATCATCGCTATCATCGCTATCATCGCTATCATCATCATCGCTATCATCGCTATCGCTATCGCTATCATCGCTATCATCGCTACCATCGCTATCATCGCTATCATCGCTATCATCGCTATCATCGCTATCATCGCTATCATCGCTATCATCGCTATCATCGCTATCATCGCTATCATCGCTATCATCATCATCGCTATCATCGCATCGCTATCATCGCTATCATCATCGCTATCATCATCATCGCTATCATCATCGCTATCATCATCGCTATCATCGCTATCGCTCATCATCGCTATCATCGCCATCATCATCATCATCAGCCATCATCGCTATCATCATCGCTATCATCATCGCATCATCTATCGCTATCGCTATCATCGCTATCATCGCTATCATCGCTATCATCGCTATCATCGCTATCATCATCGCTATCATATCGCTATCATCGCTATCATCGCTATCATCATCGCTATCATCATCGCTATCATCGCTATCATCATCGCTATCATCGCTATCATCGCTATCATCGCTATCGCTATCGCTATCATCGCTATCATCGCTATCGCTATCATCGCTATCATCGCTATCATCGCTATCATCGCTATCATCGCTATCATCGCTATCATCGCCATCATCGCCATCATCGCTATCATCGCTATCATCGCCATCATCGCCATCATCGCCATCATCGCCATCATCGCCATCATCGCTATCATCGCCATCATCATCATCGCTATCATCGCTATCATCGCCATCATCGCCATCATCGCCATCATCGCCATCATCGCTATCATCGCTATCATCGCTATCATCGCTATCATCGCTATCATCGCTATCATCATCATCGCCATCATCGCCATCATCGCCATCACGCCATCATCGCCATCATCGCCATCATCGCTCATCATCGCTCATCGCTATCATCATATCATCATCGCTATCATCGCTATCATCGCTATCATCGCTATCATCATCGCTATCATCGCTATCATCGCCATCATCGCTATCATCGCCATATCGCTATCGCTCATCATCGCTATCATCGCTATCATCGCCATCATCATCATCGCCATCATCGCCATCATCGCCATCATCGCTATCATATCTATCATCGCTATCATCGCTATCATCGCCATCATGCTATCATCGCTATCATCGCTATCATCGCTATCATCGCTATCATCGCTATCATCGCTATCATCGCCATCATCGCCATCATCGCTATCATCGCTATCATCGCTATCATCGCCATCATCGCTATCATCGCTATCATCGCTATCATCGCTATCATCGCTATCATCGCCATCATCGCCATCATCGCCATCATCGCTATCATCGCCATCATCGCCATCATCGCCATCATCGCTATCATCGCTATCATCGCCATCATCGCCATCATCGCTATCATCGCTATCATCGCTATCATCGCTATCATCGCTATCATCGCCATCATCGCTATCATCGCTATCATCGCTATCATCGCTATCATCGCTATCATCGCTATCATCGCCATCATCGCCATCATCGCTATCATCGCTATCATCGCTCATCGCCATCATCGCCATCATCGCCATCATCGCCATCATCGCTATCATCGCCATCATCGCTATCATCGCTATCATCGCTATCATCGCCATCATCGCCATCATCGCTATCATCGCCATCATCCCTATCATCGCTATCATCGCTATCATCGCTATCATCGCTATCATCGCTATCATCGCTATCATCGCTATCATCGCTATCATCGCTATCATCGCCATCATCGCCATCATCGCTATCATCGCTATCATCGCTATCATCGCTATCATCGCTATCATCGCTATCATCGCTATCATCGCTATCATCGCCATCATCGCCATCATCGCCATCATCGCTATCATCGCTATCATCGCTATCATCGCTATCATCGCTATCATCGCTATCATCGCTATCATCGCCATCATCGCTATCATCGCTATCATCGCCATCATCGCTATCATCGCCATCATCGCTATCATCGCCATCATCGCTATCATCGCTATCATCGCTATCATCGCCATCATCGCTATCATCGCCATCATCGCCATCATCGCCATCATCGCCATCATCGCCATCATCGCCATCATCGCTATCATCGCTATCATCGCCATCATCGCTATCATCGCATCATCGCTATCATCGCTATCATCGCTATCATCGCTATCATCGCTATCATCGCTATCATCGCTATCATCGCTATCATCGCCATCATCGCTATCATCGCTATCATCGCCATCATCGCTATCATCGCCATCATCGCTATCATCGCCATCATCGCTATCATCGCTATCATCGCTATCATCGCTATCATCATCATCGCTATCATCGCCATCATCGCTATCATCGCTATCATCGCCATCATCGCTATCATCATCACCACCACCATCATCATCATCATCATCATCAACCTCAAGATCTCTGTCACGCGCAGGTCTCCATCAACAGATCCACCAGATCCAAGAAGAGCGGCCCGTGGAGGTACCTCTGTGCCACCCGTGGAACCATCAAATAAGGGGGTCACTAAACTGTCATATTAAGGCTTGATGCTGGGATTTTATCATTTTATCATATTTTATCATTCATGATGTATGATGCACATAAAGACTTTCATGGGAAATTATCATGATTCATCATTCCTTTAGGGACCCCTTCCATGAAAAAAAAGGCACGGTCGTATTTTATTTGTCCCTGGATTTGCCCTGCACGTGAGGTGGCGGCCAATTCGCTAAGTGACGACCTGGACGTCTTGTGCTTTGACGAGTTTCAAATCACCGACATTCAGGTGGGCAAGACAGCCTAAGCCATGAATGATGCAAGGCGCAAGGCGAATCATACCCCATTTTTTGGTGGTTTGGGATTTTGGTTTTTAATCACTTAGTCGTTTTTGGGTTGTAGACTTTGGCCGGGTGGAGAGGAATGGTTTAGGAAGTTTAGGATTTAGCGATTTTTTTTGATCCGGAGATGTAGATGTGAAGGGAGGGACACAGGCATCATAACATCTGGGTAAATTATAACGACCTCACTGTTCTCCCTCACTGGAAATCATGGTTAGTAAGGGGAATCATCCCCAAATGGCCGAACCATTCAGGTTAGTGAAATATTATAATTTACCCAGATAACAATGGATCAGAATGGGGATGGATTCACCAACAGGTTGGGATGCTGTAATTTACTGATTTTCATGGTGAGATCGTTGCGAAACTGAGTCTGTACACAGTATGTTCGAAACTCAAAACCCTCCAGAAAACAAACAAACGATGGAACATGAGCACTTTTCATAGGTTTTTTTCACCTATGGCCACTTTCCGCTTGGTAAAAACCACCGATTGCTGCCATGTTTACCACCGCTTTCAACGGTTAGATCAGGACGCCGCCATCCTTCCTCGACTCTTTGAGGCTTGGAATTGTGATGATATGGCTATGGATCAATACCTATTAATACCATTTTTAATGGGATGAACATCCATGAATCCCAGCTATTTTGATGTGAACTACAGGGGTACTATTGGTTTTGACACACTGCCATATAGTGATAAGTGATATTAAGTGATAATGATTAAAAACGTGATAATAATATGATAATCCTGATAATTAATGATAATAATGATATGATAACGCGATAAAATAGGGATGATCACTTTTTGATACTAGTGATAATATTGCATGATCATAGTGATAATTCTATGATAATTCTCATAGCAAGGACCGTAGACGAAATTTATAATAAAAATGACGAGAGGGTAGACCCCATAAACTATTCCCACTGCTTGAAATGGGTCGGATTTTAAACATCGGCATTGGGTTTAGAGTATTAGATAATGTATTCTGTTTTGTTATACAGTATATATATACACATACACTTATACACAGTAGATTTAGAGACTCAAAATCATCCTGAATTAGATCGAACAGAGATGTCTTGACCATTCAGGCTTGCAGAATCTAAGGATGACATTTGCATCAACTTAGTTTCAAATTTGAAAGACAGCTCGCTTTACTTCATTAAAAATAGATACAGCAGCATTCATTGAACCATGGGGATTCCATAAAAGGGTCCAGCGGTAAAAGGGGCTTGATGCGATAAAAAAAACGGCCTGGTTTTTTCAGTTCAGACTTTGGATCGATGTACCATGGGCCATCGCTATCATTGCGGACCATGGCTATGAGATCAAAAGGATTGATTCCAGCCAGGCCTGGATCACCTACAGATCACCTACCTCGTACCGAAAAAGCAACAGAAAGAACAGAACAGCGAACCAACAGCATAAGCCCATGAAATTCCTCCCGTTCCGACCAGATCCTTTTCCTGCGCGGTGTTACGGTGGCAGCAGCCCCAGGCGAAAGCTGGGCTATGCCACGGTAATATTGGGGATGGTTTATGAACATAGCTTTACCACCAAAAAAATCCAAACAGGGGATATATGAATTGTACTGAATTGTTACTGTTTATAGTTGTTTATCATTGGATTTACCATACAATTATTGGCATTAACCCATTTCTTATTGGATTTATTATTTATGCGGTAAACTAGATGTAAGGGACAGGTATGGTTTATTTTCCAACATCAATTCTTTCTTAAATATACTTCATGCCACATGGTCAATATTTTTTTGGTTTCCGTTTTGTCATCCAAGTCATTGGAATCGGACTTTCATCCATTTTCCGCTAAGAAATCAGCAGAGGCTATCGATTCTGATTGGTGTTGAAGTTGAAAAACTGATAGCAGGATGCCAAAGTCCTATCTACCGTAGAAATCATGCAAGTAAGTGTTCGATTCTGATTGGGTAAACCCCCCAGTGTTATGATGATTCATGATTAATCCCTATCACTATAACCATTATCAACCATTATTAACCATTATTAACCATTACTAAACCATTATTAACCCCTATTAACCCCTATTAACCGCTACCCAGGTCATGACCTCCAACACGGCGCCACAGCTGCTCTACAGCGGTGAGACCGGGATTGATCAGCGGGATCTTTTGTTGGAGCTTATCAATCGATCATCATAACGTTTAGTATTTAATAGTGAGTAACGGTTATTAGTGGTTAATAGTGTTTAATAGTGGTTTAGTAATGGTTAATGATGGTTAATTATAATGATAGGGGAAAAAAAATGAGTAATCATGACGTTTCATAGGGATTAGTCATGATTCATCATGAGTATATAATGGTAAATAGTGGTTAATCACGGTCGTGAATGGGTAAAACTATGGGGCTCTAACCCCCATGGGTTGGGATACAGGGCCCCTATAATTGTGGTTCTATATCCACTTATAACCTCAACTGCACTCCCCAAGTACTGGATCTTCTAAGTTCATTGGAATATATTGGAATATATCTGTATGAACAAAGAAAAACTCTCGGCTTTTTGCCATTTTTACATATTTTTACCCTTTCCCAAGATTTTCCTTGGCCACGGCGGCCATGGGCCACGCCTTCCCTTGTTCGAGATGCGCCCTGGATTTGATGTATCAAGCCACCATCAACGGGTCTGCGACCATTGGCCAAGTCGAACTATGGCGTGGTAAACCATGGTAAACCTAAGAATCATCACTACATATCAATACCCAATACATTCAAAACATTCAATACATCAATTTGCGTCACCGGAGTGAACCGGGTGTTTTTTTTTTTGTTTATGCTTTGCTCCCAGTGCCATCAGCAGGACCCGTGGGATACCTTGTTGGATGCCTCGGAAAGCTGCCCCCCAGTGGGATGTCAGGCGGGCTGAATCGACACGTTCACCTGCCTGCCTTCGTCCGCCTCGTCGCACGGGCCCAAGGGATCCAAGGGACTGGTGATTGAAAAAGCTGGTGACTGGAACCATGGACTGGATTATGACTTTCCATATATAGTTGGGAATGGAAAATCGAATTTCATCATCCCAACTGACAACTGACGAAGTCAGTCATATTTTTCAGAGGGGTAGGTTCAAACCACCAACCAGAATGTCATGGTATTTTTAATGGGATAGTAATGGGAAGTTCGGACTTGGATACATTTATTGGATTGGTTTTAAGGGGACATTTTCAGGAAACCTCTAGATAAACGATGGGGAAAACCGGTTTTCAGCCTACTGGGTTTCGGTCCCGATTTCCCCCAAGAACCAATCCAGTGAAACTCATGAAATACACCCCAAAAACAAACTCAAAATGAATAGATTTAGCACTAAACCAGAGCTTTTTGCTGGAACGGTTCTGATTGTCAAATTGTTGGCCATTTTTTTGTATTTCACATGTATGGTGATTTCCTAACATAGCGCTACCCCCAGTTCTCATCCATTTGATGTTCGGATTTTCCATGAACTTTTTACCATCCAGCGAGCTTGGGGTACCCCCATGACTATGGAAACCCCCATATGTCTACGGTTGTTTTTCTTGAATCCTCTCCAGGGAGATCACTGTACCGTGCTGGGCCTGGGCGCCAAGTCGGTCCGGACACCTGGTGAACCACTTGTGGCGAGGGAGTCCTTGAAGCCTTGGTTTGAAAAGATGGGATTCAACCAGGAAAAATGGTGACTTTTTTTGGTGAGTTCATTGAGAAAAATATGGCTGACATTGAATGGTGATTGAATGGTGATTGAATGGTGATTGAATGGTGTATACCAGTTCATCTGGTTACCATCTCCAACCATTAATGGTGTACTGACGATTTTATGTTCGTGCTATAGCCTTGGGTGATCTGGTGATGCTACCGGTGATGGTAAAATCATCAAATCGAATCATCGGAATCAACATGGCCATGGCTTGGCTGGGTACCTCCTTATGGCGATGATTTTCATGACTTTCAAGTAGTAATACCTAGCAATAAAACTAATAACTACTAGGCACCTCTCTAACTATGGTAGGTAACATAGGTAATATCAATGTGGGCGAATAGAACATATACATATGAGAATATGACTAAGATCTGGTGATTGATAGGTGGTAATTGACATAATAACTATGATGAATTGATTGTTTATTTATAGTCACACTATATAATCTTATATTACTCAATGACTCGTTTTGATCGTACCCTCTAGTAGACTCTAGTAATTTAGCAGTTTCTTGTGGAAAAACACGAATGGCCAAAACTATGTTACCAGAGGGTAACTGGTGATCAATAACAAAGAAGTGAGTTTGATACAACAATTGACAGGCCATATTGATTCTTAGCCATTCCCCCAGTACAACTGGGTCATAAGCCATATGGCTACCCTGGTGACGACCAAAAAAAACTTGGATGAGGGTTCCACCAATTTTTCACAGGCATTCTGGGTGAACGAAGATATAATTGTACACCAAACTATCCGCTATTTTTTTCCCAAAGGGACATTCCTGATTGAGAACTCACTTGATGAATATTGATTTGACGTTTTCCTTTAAAAAGGGAAACCATTCAGCCATCCGTTTGATGGCTGGTCAGGTCGTCACTTGGTGACTTGGTCCGAAATCTCCATTCGAAAACTCCTCAGTCTAGCTGGTAAATTGACAGTTTGAGGCAAAGCCACTATAGTCACTATCTGCAGATCATTTTCCAAAGGGCTTTCCCCAGTTTTCTACTTTTGTTTTGGTGTTTGTTGGAATTTGTTGGAAGTGAAACCAGCAACGGCCTTGAAGCACCGGCAATGGCGACGGCTTTCCAGGTGGATTATCGCCGAAAAGCCGAAGCAGAGGAGGCCCAGAAACTGGGGAGACACTGGCGCCAGTGTGTATATATGGAGTATATGTGTATCTATCTATGTATGTGTATATATTATATATACATATCACACCGATGAAGGCATCATCAAAGATCATTCTCGGATTTCGGGATGAAATGTGAATGCTGGGCATTGGACGTCCCCATTGACCCTCCCTGCCAGTTGCAGTCCTCCGACGTTCTGGGCCCCGGCCTCAAAGAATGTGTCGCCTTCCTTGTGATTATTAGCTGTTGGGTTACCTGCAACCATCAACTGGGCTGCTGTGATTACAGAATATGTCACTTACTGGTGCTAAACGTAGGGAATGGATGGGTTGCTGGGGGTTGCTGGGATTTATTCCATAGCTATTGTGGATCATTCCCAAAGATTCCCTACGTAAAACGCACCAGGGTCCAATGTCAGAATACGTCAGATTTTTCAGATCTGGAGGGCTGATCAGCACGCTGAGATAGCTTTTTGGTGGGCGAAGAGGGCAACCAAGAATTGGAGTCCAGATGGCAGGAATGGCTGAAGCAGGTGGGAATGGTGGCCGAAGCACAAAAGTGATGGTTCTTTCCGATTCTTTCCGATTCTTTCCTGGGGATCTTACTTCCAAATTGGTGGGTTCTTACTACAACTAGCCAGGTCATTTGGCTCAGTTTTTGCAACATCTCTAGATTCAATTTTAGGGAAGTCGAAGTCGACATTATTGACTTTCAAGAATGGTCAGTAAAACCTCAGGTGACTCATTTATTCATTGATTTGATCTTTAATTGAATTGATTGCTGCATCCTTGTGGATGTTGAAATGATGTGGATCCTTTTTCGACGTGCGATATTTTATCTAGGAGGCAGATTTCATGTGAGATGATACTGATACTGTGGATGGTTGCGAAATCCTGCACCACCCGAAGGATGGTTGAAAGATGTTGAAAGCCAGTGAAACAATGGGGGTTGATATTACCACCTATCAACTGGTTCAACTGGTGTAGGATTTCTGATTCAACTGGTGCGGGATTTCGCAACCATCCACAGTAGATTCCTGGAAGGTGAAGGGACCATGAATCCTGTGCAAAACTTATCCACTGCCTGGCCTCAGGCGGGACCTGAAGAGGAAGTCTTCGTCGAGCTTCCAATGGGTGCGCTGATCGCGACAGATGGGGAGGACGGACATTTTCAGCCAAGGGGTAGGGGTTTCAGAAATAATTATACTGACGTTTATCAGTCATGGTTTATCCATTCTCAAAAAACGCTTAAACCACTTGAATACCTTGAATTCCAGGTTTTCACTGATTAAAATCACCTCTTTTCGCACGTAAAACCTCCATGGTAATTTCAGCCACAATCCCCGTGGCTTTTTGCACCTCAAACAGACCGATGCTGCGATGATGATGGTGAATGGATTGGGTAGCAGGTGACTATCCCCAAATGGCCTTGCATAGTTCTTGTAATTTATCCATACAGCAACAATAATAATTAATAGCATTAACTGGCATTAACTATGACTCTACATGTAATTATGTAACTGTATGTATGTAAAAAAAATAGGGTATGTAGTGCATACACATTGATATACATGGTGAGCTCAATGCAGTTGTTGACCTTGGGATTTCTTTGAGATTCACGGCACGGCGGACAATCACAATCACCCTTCCCGAACTTTGGCGAGGGCAGCCTGAACTTCTGCTGGCTGCATGAAACGAACAGTGCCGGCTCGTAGTCATAGAGACCCTGGATCATCTGAAACCACCGTGGATTTCCAGGATTTCCAGGTCCAAAACATCCAGAACTCAGTAATTTTCTCTGTGAAATCTGTGAATTCGATCTGGAAACACCGTGAAAGACCAGCATTTCGAGATCATTTTCCAAACGGCTGGGTTTCCCCACGGGTGGAAACCCAGTCATCTCTCTGAAAAGGTCGGCGCTTCCTGATCCGCAGGGCTTCAGGTGCCGCTTCCGCTTGGGCTTTCCCAAGGTTCAGGGGTCATTGACGAACTATGGGGACCCATGGTGGAAAAGGCTATCACGGTATCACGGTATGAACAGCTCCAACTGTCAAACAGGGCTAGGGCTAGTCTGTGAACTTTGGGAAACACATCGAATTCTGGGGGAATTTCCAGCGAGCCATGTTTGAATACCAGGGGTAATAAACAGTGCAACTACCCTCCGGTGCAGCCACAATACATCCCATCTCTCCACGGGCACAGATTTTTGGACCAGAAAAGGCAAGGCACAAAATGGTGCTTGTTGATGCTGGCAGCTCTCATCAAGGACCTTTAAAGATCCTAAATGGGGAGTCATGGCTCTGGGTGCCATGAGCAACCCAGCCGCCAGAAGTTTTGGATGCTCAACCAGGGTCTTTGGCCACCAGCATAGCTGCATCACTCTCCCGCTGCGGAAAAAAACTGGAGATGGTGGAAATCATGTTTTTCTTGGGAGTACCGGCTACATGCCCCATTTGTTTGCTATATGGGTTTGTCTGAAGAATTGGGTCAATCATCATTTTCCCTATTGGAATCGCCGTAAATTGGGTAATATTATATCTCCTTATATCATCTTATATCGCAGTTTATCCCATTCTATCCCAACCATTATATTCACCGGTCATAAGTTTTCATGGTCAAACCATAATTTTTCCAACTTTTCATGCTTAAAAAATACGATTTTTCATGGTTCAACCGCAATTTTTCCAATTTTTTGGTGGGCAAAATCACCACTCGGAGCATAGGCTCCGCGTGTTTCTTGGACTTTGCGGAGCTGTGTGGCGGAGACCGTGGGGAGGCGACCGAAAGCTGGTTCAGCTGGTTTAGCTCGGGTTTGTCCTAGGATTTTCCTAGGGATACCCTGGTAAACTAACAGTTTGCTATTGAACATGGCCACAGAAATAGTTGATTTACCCATGAATAGCATGGTGATTGCCAGAGGGTATCATGGGAGATTTTTGCTTGATGTAAGCCATGAAGAGACGCTTCACTAAAGATTTGGAGGTGAATCGTGTCCCCGGTGAAAATATGAAACAGCCCGATTCTATGATCGTCTATGATCCTTGCGTGTAAATCCCAACTAAGAAAAACATGACTTCTTGGGTGTTTGATTTCTTGGGGATGGAATTAATTCAAAGTTCGCTCATGGCGATGTTCGCGGAGTTACAAGAAACCCCGAGTTCGGTGAGATATCCATGGGGATCAAAGATGAAGGATGTTTTGTGAGATACAACTGTTGGACATTGTTCAGAAGAACCTGGAAGGAATGGATATTGGAAAGTACTTGTTGGATACTTGTTGGACACTTGTTTTCTTGGATATTTTTTTCGGAATGACTCGGAACGACCTGACATTTTGTGGAACATGGAAGCCCACTGTTAAATCAGAAGCCATGTCGGTTGCTATCGATTCACTTTCCGCAGCTTTACTTTGGACGGCAAATGAGACTGGTAGAGCAGTGCCCAAAGTGGCATCTCTTGTGATGAACAGTCGGCACTTATGCAAATATGGTGCTTTCAACGTTTCCTTCGTGGCCAAGATGTGCCGGCTTGGCGCAAGCAGCAAAAAACTACCAGGAGAGTTTTGCCAGAGATTTCCGACTTCATCGACTTGAAACGCATCACATGTCCGAGATCACGGCGATTCATCTTTGAAGCATTTTCGCGGCTTTTTCGCGAAGCTTTGCGGAGGATCTGGGGTGGAGATCGATTTTGGAAGTCTTCGAGGTGGCTTTGTCTGAAAATGGGCTACTAAGTCTCTGCTCCGAAATGGGGGTAAAACATGTTTATTGCTGAAAAAGTCCTCCAGACGACCTGGATGATATCAGCCATTCGGCTACGGCCGGGCATCGGCCGCTGGGACCCTGGGATCTCCCGATGCCAAGTGGAACGGGGGTGCCGTTTGCATAGCTCCGGCGCTGAGATGATGGGGAAAAAGGATGGCAGCTGAACGGTGTCTACAACTGTGCTTGAAGGAAATATATAAGTATATATATATATAGCTATGTAATACTAATGTATAATATATATTTATATATATAACATTATATAACTATATATAAATATATATATACATATACATCTATTATACTATTATACCTACATAAATAGATATATGATATAAACATATACGTATATGATACATATGCATCAAAACCAAAAACGTCAAACACCGCGTTTTTCACCGTGGCGATTCCACCGCAGGCTGACTTCATGGCCTTGGCCCAGCGCTTTCAGAGCATCTTCCTGTGCAGCGTTCCAAGGTCGTGGGGTGATGTGGTGATGTGACGGGTATAAGTTGAGTGTTTTTAGAGAAAACATATGGGTATGGATCAATGCCTATTAATACCATTTTTAGTGGGATGAACATCCATTTTAACCCAGCTATTTTGATGTGAACTACAGGGGTACTATTGGTTTTGACACACTGCCATATGATAAACCCAATGGAATTGAAGGGATACATCTTTTCAGAGCCGAAAATCTAAGTTGGCTTTGGGATACACTAGAAAAATAGAAATACGAAGCAACATGCAGGGTATCTACTGTCAAACTAGCGATGTTAACATGTGCGGGAAAAGAAAACACTTCGTAATTATCCTCTACGTGTTACGTGCTTCTTTGAGGACTCACGCTTCAGCAAAAGGATGCCCATAGTCCGAATGATGGCTCTTACAGGGGAAACCAATGGCCGAGAAACGCATCATTTGTTTTTCATGGATATTTCGCAAACAAAAAATGAACCAACCTGGCAACCTGGGATGAGTATCATGAAATGAGAAACCCATCGGTGATGAATCTGATCGCTGCGGATTTTGCCAGCATGGCTGTGGATTCATGTGAAAAGTTCGCATCCCGGTCATCCAACGTGGCTGGAAAAGCCCCGAACTAGCCATGGAGCTTTAGTTCGGGAAAATCATAGAACATCATCAAGTTACTTCAGTTGGAACCAGATCAAGTTGGATCACAATCTGAAAATCAGGAGTTGGAACCAGTATTCCAAGCAGATCATTTCCTCAGCATCCATGGTGATTCTATGCTATGGCGCCTGCCACTTCGGTCGAGCTCAGGCAGGCTCAGGAGTTGATGTCCGGGGTTCATCATCCTAGGTTTACTGGTCGGAGAACACAACGTGATTTGATGGTTAGAGGATGGATTTTGCCTTATAGTCATTCACTGTTTTTTTAGAGACAATTCACACATATTCACACGAGACCATGCTCTTTAACCTCAATTTTCGTGTTTGCGTGTTCCTGTTAACTTTCCTTTCAACCAATTTTCGGAGTCATGGGATTCACAACTCATGACCCATATTGTTCCAGGATGTTCCAGGATGTTCCACAACGGGGTTGATCAACAACAAAGGTGGCAAGAGTTGCATGAAAACAGAGGGGATTCACCAACAAGCTTGAGCCAACCATGGACGGAATTAGATGGAATTAGGGCATAGCCTCTGGTAAACGTTAACAAAAAACTATGGAAAGATCCACCATTTTGAATAGGTAAATCCACTATTTCTATGGGCCATTTTCAATAGCTATTTTGACATAACCAGAGGGTAGTTGTAGTTGGAAAGCAATTGAAACATCTTACCGCGGCAGTTTTGCTGGTGGCTTGGCAGGCCCATAGATCCCAGGGATTGGCATAGCGACCATCAGCAATTGTTGAAAAACACTGGAAAACGCGACTGAGACGTTTCAAGAAAAAGTGATGATCTTTTAGTCTTTCAGAAATTACTGAAAAACATATCTGTATATATCTGTCATTTTCCCAGGATTTCTCTGACCATTTTGTTTTTGACAACTCACCACAGTACCCGGAGTGCCCCTCCGCAAGCTCAGGCTGCAACCCAGGGCGCCCGAGAAACCGAAGCCCAAGGGACTTCCATGCCGAGGTGAGGGAGGATTTTTTGGGCTTGGGGATTATGAACTAACCAATACTGGTTGGTGGTTTGGAACATTTTTTATTTTTCCATGTATTGGGAATAATAATCCCAACTGACTAATATTTTTGAGAGGGGTTCAAACCACCAACCAGAATATTTATAATGTGATATACTGTGGTTAAAACAATGTTATAAACCAGCCATGACTGGGAATGGAAAAAAGTATAGCACCTCTAAACATGGTGATAACTGGGGGATGGTTTATGATGGTTTTACCAACATGGCTTTTATACCACCCAAATTCCAAATGGTTTGTCGAAACAGAATTTGTGCTTACGCCTTACGTGGAAAAAAAAACACAGATACGCGCCTGCCGTGGAGATATGCCCGCCGATCAGCACAGGAGGGAATCTGGCGCGAAAGGCGGAGGAGACCTCGGTGCGAGAAATTGCTGGGGCTTTGAGCCAGAATTTTCATTACTAAAATTGTGGGGTACAGTAGACCTGATTTTCAGTCTATTTCAATTTGTAAAAAGAATCAGGTTTTGGTCAATATCACCTAATGGTCATACCCCAAACATCCTGGTACGGTTCAACTATGGGTCACAGATAGGTCGGTCCCAGGATTGCTGTGGAGACTTCTGGACGCAGCTAGATGCCCGACAGCCACCCACCGAGTCAGAAACTGAGCCGATCAGTTCGTCCTGGTTGACTTGTTGTACTTGGGGCTGGACTGAGGTTATTAATGGCTATGACGGGGCTTGTGACCAACCATAAATTGAAACATAGGGCCCTATAATTATGGTTTTTCACTTGTACACTTATACATCCATTTACAACCTCAACTGCACCCCACAAGTAGGGCTTTCATTGGGTTTTACACATCAAACAAATGGGGATATGATTGATCGATGATTATTGGTTGATGATTGTAGGGGGTTATGAAGCTTTCTGGTTTACATTGGGGATTACCTATTCACCAACCAGTTTTCACGGAATGGCAGAGGCTTTTGAACACTGCTCAATTGTTGTGAAGAGCGTTAGTGCCTCCACTGGCATCCAAGCGAACTCACCACCATTTGACGGTCAGTCCTTCAGGGGTGTGCAGTGATCTACATCACGTGATATAAGCGTCTGTCCAAAGACAACAAGAGCCGCAAAAATGACTGCTCGATTTTGTGATTTGCAACTGATGGTCTGGGAATGTTTGGGATATCTCGAAATGTTGGGACATCAAACGCATATTCCCAGCAAGGTGGGAAGCATCGAAGAACGAAGATCACCAACAAGGCACATAGCTTGAAGCCACCAGTGACCATTTCAATGGGACAATATTATATAAGCTGTGGTCAATACTCATGGTTAATAACAATTAATAGGGGCTAGTCATCCAATGGTTCATAGGGATTTATAATAACCATTATAAGGATCCTTATTATGGATGGGTTGACCATCAACCATATAGTGAGTATTGACCATGGCTCATATCATATTATGGCCTTCAAATGCTTGATTGTTTTGTCTTGCCCCCCTTGTCACCCCCAAGGTGGGTGAAATCTGGTTCAACTGGGCACTTCGGGATGACCAAATTTCCCGAAGGCAGTGGGGAGCAGAAAATAAACGCCTCAAGGTCAATGCTGGACAATTATTATCAATGATGATCACTAATATTTATTATATTTTATTATGATCAACTTCTCATTTAGTAATTTTTCTCGTAGTACTACGGCCAGCACTTGTGTTTTGCCCCAACGTCCGGATGATTGTCGGAAGCCTCATTTTTGGTGACCGTTACGGTACTTTGTGGCTTTCTAGTATTTGGGGATCTAAGAGCTGGATGTCTCTGGGTTAGCTGACCCAACAAGCCACGTCATTGATGATCCTCTGCCGGGAATCTGCTGTGCTCCAAAACGTTTTTTCGTCACTTTTTACATACACCCTGAATAGACCCTACATAAACCCTAAAGACCCTAGAAAAACACCAGAATTGATGCTAAAGAAACCCTAAAGTAAACCTAAACCCTGCATAAACCCGTTTAAAAAACCCTGCGACAAAGTTTTTTTCTAATTGGGCAGGTGAAGCCTGGGAGGAGGTCATATCGGAGGCCAGATGCCTGGGTACTGGGGGGTTACAAAACCAACCATGGTTTTTTGGGGAGAACTTTATGGGATATAATAATATTTATATATATATATATATTTCACCAACAAGATGAGATAGGTTTCTGGGATAAAAAGATATAAAAAGAAAGATACACCGTTTTTCATCATGATTTCACTTAAATTGGCTACACAATCTGGTCCTTGCCCCGTTTTTGGACCAACCCAAGTCTCCGGTGTTTCATCATTTTTGGTGTTGCACGTCCGTGTTTGCGGGTGTGTTTGAAGTCTACCGGCAGAAGTATCATGATTTGGAGAAGGATACTTTTTGTCATTGTTGTCGTTGGCGGTTTCTCAGTTTCTGACAAACGTAATCCTCCAGTCGTCCTTCGAAACCATATCGGCTCCAAAGGAGGGCTCCCATCACACCCATCAACACCCAACGCAACCGCTTATATAGAGTCTTAGAGTTTTGATGGGTTTAATGATTCCTACTGGACACTAGCTATAGCAACTCCCAAAAGTCAGATAGAGTGGTAAAGTGCCACTACTTTAGTAAGTTTTTACTTTTCTATCTTTTTTTGGGGTTACCATTCATGGTTGATTTTCTTTGTTGCACCTCGTTCGCTGTGAGGAATACCTGCAACGCTACTGCGACGGCGCAGACCTCACCCAGGTGGAGGCAGTTCTGGTCAGTTCTCAGTTTTTTTCTGGTAAACGGGCTAACAAAAAACTATGGAAAATCATCACCATGCTATCAATGGGTAAATCCTGGTAAATCCACTATTTAAGGGCTGCCGCCCCTGCCGCCGACCCCGGAAAAATTGGACCTCGATTTTTTGATCCTCCACCTTGTTTCTTTGACCCCCCACCTTGCCTTTTCGAGGCGCTTGCTACAATAGTATGGATATTATATATATATATATGTATATATATATGGGCCCTATTATTATACATAGAAAGAGGAAAAGGCCGGGTGGTCACTTTGGAAGAAGATTTGGTGGACCGGGCGTGGTAAACCGGCTGGATTGATAGCTTGCTTACAGGTACGCAGGACCCCCTTCCGTTATATGTTGATTTATAATCCCATCTGACTATAGATGTATCCACCATAACTCCAAGTTATTTGGTAACCAAATGGCAAATCGTTTGGGGGCCACCGGGGATATCTATGGATATCTCGTATTTGTATACAATACAGTATGTATAGTTTTGTACATATCATATGATATATCATACATCTCACTATGATTAGATATAATATTCACATATATATAGTAC